GGTTTAGGGTCTTTGAAGGGTTTAGGGGTTTAGGGTTTAGGGTCTTTGAAGGGTTTAGGGGTTTAGGGTTTAGGGTCTTTGAAGGGGTTTGGGGTTTAGGGTCTTTGAAAGTTTAGGGGTTCAGGGTTTAGGGTCTTTGAAGGGTGTAGGGGTTTAGGGTTTAAGGGTTTAGGGGGTCGTTATATGGTTCTGTACGGGTCTGTTTATTCGTATTCGGAGATGTTGAGGTCTCTATCCAAGGGATCTTTAATAGGCATTCTGCCCTAAACCTTAAACTCTGAGCCCTGAGCCCTAAACTCTGAACCCTAAGCCCTGAACTCTGAACTCGAAGCCCTCAACTCTGAGCCCTAAACCCTCAACTCTGAGCCCTAAACCCTCAACTCTGAGCCCTAAACCCTAAACTCTGAACCCTAAACCCTCAACTCTGAACTCTGAACCCTAAACCCTAAATATGTACGGTCTCGGGTTTTGGGTTTGTTGCTGAACTTGGGGCTTCGAGCTGGGAGTTTCAGGGCTTCGGACTGGAAGAGTCGGGGTTCACCTGCATAGGCTTCATAGGGTTTATAGGGTTGATAGGGCTGATAGGGCTGATAAGGTTTACAGATTTTATGGAGCTTATAGGGCTTGTAGGGCATAGGGCTTATAGGGTTTATGGAGTTTAGGGTGCCTGTGAGTTTGGGCACACCAGCGAAACAGAACACCGAGATCAACAAGCTACTCGCAAGTGTTGCATAGTCTTCGGGTCAGTTTAGACATAAAAGTGAAACTGAAGAAGGCCCTGCCGGTGCAGAAGCCTGCTGTTGTAGGGTACCACCAGTAGGGATCCGACATCAGGCAGCCCCATGTTCAACCCGTCATCGTAACTCTACCGGGAACTGCAACATTGGAGGTGCAAGCAGGCTGCACCCCCAAGGGGCCTCATAAAGTAGAATAAGGTTGTTGGGTGTATTATACTATTGTATAACTGTACTAAGCTTCTGTCGTCAACTCGTCCACAAACCGGGCTTCTGGCTCATCTTCATGATGAGCGTGTAGTACTCCTGGCCAGCTATCTGACAGCTCCACGATCATATTAACCCGGAGGAGATCCTAAACCCCTAAACCCCTAAATGTGGGAGATTCTTATAACCGTTATCAGGATCTTGAAGGTCTACGAAGGTCCACTTTCCTGAGACGCTCATCGGGTCCTCCGCATGGGACGTCCTCCCTACTCAAACATCCCAAAACCCTAAACCCCCCAGCCCCAAGCCCTTACATCCCTAATCCGTGTCCCGAAACTCCATCACCGTTTAATGTTAAACTCTCCTAACCTGCAAAACCCGAGAAGCCTGAAGCTCATAACTCCTTAACTCCTTAAACTCTGAACAGCGCCTTTCTGTATTCGCTTGACTTTTGGGGGAGATACCCATAGAGCCCAAAGCCCTTAGTACGGGAAGCCTCCAAACTACAAGCAAAGCTGGAACGTGGCGCGAGGATGAATGGTGCGCGGATTGTGCATACTTATCTTTATATTAAGGCTATCAAGGCACTTTTACTTGCCGCTTTCTGGCTTGTCCTCTATGCTCTACACTTCCCTTGAAACGGGCCAAAGCTTAGGCTTTAGGGGTTTCGGGCTTACGCCGTAAACCCTAAACCCTACACCCGTCGCTGCGCCATCGCAGGCCTGAAACTCCCCATGCATCTGCCAGCTCCAATCTAGGGTTTAGGGGTTTGGGGTTTAGGGTTTAGGGTTTAAAGTTCAGGGTTTTTCCCTCCCCTACTTTGCAAGATTCAGGGTTTTGGGTTTAAGTTTTTAAGGTTTAGGGTTCCGCAAACCTGGACTGAACCCTTCAGCCAGAACCCCAAAGCCTGCGAAGCAGTTCACCCCAAACCCTATTGAAGCCCATAGCCCTGCCCCTGAACCCCAGAAACCCAGAGGGCCGAATACCCCTTAAATAAGGAATATAGTTTTAATCCTAATATGAACCCCCTTATACTTTACGCTCTATTCCTTGGTTACGGTGTATTGGGCTGTCTGGGAATCCCCCAGAAACCTAAACCCTAAACCCTAAACCCCTACACCCTAAACCCAGAAACCCCAGAAACCTAAACTCAAAGCTGCGGCGGTCCTTGCCGGAGCCTTGGAGCTCGTAGTCCTTGCACTTGTCATACGGCCCCTCCTCAGCTACGGAAAGTGCTTAATGTAGGGGCCTAAATAACCTATAATTTTGGGGGCTTCTTATTTCAAGTATAGTATAATGGGCCCCAAAACCCTATTCTAACTTGTCTCGGACGCTGATGCGGAAATGTTGGTTTAGTCTGCTGCTTCACGCTTTTTGCGTTAGGTTGGTCGACTTAAGCCCAGAGAGCCCAATACCCCTTAAATAAGGAATATAGCTTAAATCCTAATATGAAGCCTCTTAACGTTTAAGCCATATTCTTTAATTAAGCTGTATTGGGCTCTCCGGGGAAGGTTTTGCAGGTTGAAAAAACCGATGCCACGGGGCGATCTCGTAGGGTCGCAGCGTCTCCCCCTTCGCCCTGGCTTGCCCAAGTTTCAAGGCTCAATACACGGGCCTAAATCATTACCAATACTATTCTTCTTAGGGCTCCTTTTTATAGTTACAGTATGATATATACTAAAACCCTATTCTTGGGTTCGGGTTTTGGAAGTAAGGTTTTGGCAGAGTTTTCGGCTTACAGGGTATCGGGCATCCAGCGCTTCGAAAAGAGTCTCAGATGCATCGAGTAGTTGTAAGGCTCAGGGTTTCGGGTTTAAGCGTTTAGGCTTCAGAGCTTCGTGCTTGGGGTATATATAGACAATTGCTAGACTCGGCCCAACCGCTGCTCCGGGGATCACCGGCTGAAAGAGATCACTGGCTCAAGCGACTCATGCGAAACCCTTGTCCCATTGAAGTCCTAAGCTCCGGTGAATGAGAAGAGCATCTCAACCGAGCCACGAAGCCTCACCCCCAACTCGCGGCTCGAAGACCACGGTCCCCGTACATACAGCACTATCATTGGAAACTCCTGACGCTCATGCCCACATCTTGCGGCTTCGAATGGTCTCAGGGGTCGCAACATCGTCTTTCCAGGCCGATACGCCTAATAATCTCGATCATGTAGATTTTATAGCTCTACTCCAGCAACGAAGCCCCCCTTCAACCACTTGGAGCTCCACATCGTGGGGGGGCCGAGATAGCGAGGAATCCCGCCTGCCCTCCAACTCCGCAAAAGGTATTCGTTCCGTGATGAGGATGTAGTTGCCTTGTCGCAGCTTAAGGTTTACAGTAGGGCTTAGGGCTTAAGGCTCTAGATATTGCTCCCAAAACCTTCAGACCGTCAGATAGGGCTTGGGTTTCGGGCTTGAGTTTAAGATGGCGTTAAAACTTCAGGTTAGGTTTGGTGCGCGTGCGCCACGAAATCTCAATCAATGGAAGGAACCCCATAAGCCAGCCAACCCAGAAGCCTAAACCCTAAAGCGTCAACTCCCTCAAGTCAGAAATTTAGGGTCCCCTCGGTGCCACGTCGCAGGTCCCTGGAAGCCACAAGGCTGTCTACTCAAAGCCTACACCAAAGCCGTGAAGTCATCAAACCTTAAAGAACCCTCCCACCAGAACCTGAGGCGTGAGTCGTAAACCCCGAAGGACCCAGAGACTCCAATACCCCTTGATTAAGGAATATACTTAAATTATAATAGAATCCCTAGTAAGATTTAAGGTATATTCCTAAATCATTCAAGTGATATTGGAGTCTCTGGGGAAAACCAACACCATCCGAGACACAATTTACTCAAGAGTAGTCCGAAAGACCACCAAGAGGGGGTTTCAGAACATGAACAGACCTTGAAGGGAATGTACTGCAGTTTACGATGCGGATCCGTGGGTAGACTCTAGATTGAAATAGAATCTTCCGTAGTCCTTATTTAATTGGTACTGGGCTCTCTGGGCAAACAAGGCTTCCCGGATTCTCATGAACTGCCAGGGAGCTGGTCTCATTGCAGACTCTAGTTTGAAATAGAACCTTCCTTAAACCTCTAAACCCTAAACCTCTAAACCCTAAACCCTGAAGAAATGCCAGGGAGCTGGTCTCATTGCTGATGTCACCGAAATAGAACTTCGGAGTGCGCATCGGCCTCAGCGCAGGGTTCCTTTGCCGGCCTTTTTTTTGGGATTTTGTGCAACAAGTATAATGGGGTTATAACTAAGGTAACTATACTTATAACCCCAATTAGGGGACTTATAACCTTACTTACTACGTCCCATGATTTTGTGCAACAAGTATAATGAGGGAAGCCTTGGGACTAATGTAGGATGATTCAGACCCGCAGAGTTCTACATTTGTTCCTCTAACGGTCCGGGCATCGGAGGGGTACGTAGGGCTTCTTCTGTAAGATTGGGGCCTTGATAATTGGAGTAAGGTGTTTGGGGTTATACTCATAATAATAATAGGAGCCCTAAGGAAAAGCTCCAGTAGTTCTTCAGGCCTTGTATTGGTTACACAGAGAGCCCAATACCCCTTTAAACAAGGAATATAGCTTTAAATCATAATATGAAGCCCCTTATTTTTCAAGCTGTATTCCTTGTTTAAGGTGTATTGGGCTCTCTGGGGATTAGGGGCTTTTCGGATTTGGTTGGGTCCATGGCTTCAGGGTGTGTGATGCAGGAGTCCGACACTGGGGCACTCTTGCTAAGTAGAATGGGGTTTGGTGAATTAACGCGTGGTTATATATATATATATGCTACGAGGGGTTACAACAAGTTGAATAGGGTTCGGGGTGTGCATTATGAGTTGATAGAATACAGTTTTACAGAAGCCTTGGGGCTATGCGGGGATGTCAGCTGCTGATTGTTCAAACCTCTACACTACCCCAGCGAGCTCTGCTTGACGAGCGGCTTGGGACCATGCGGCCCCCCGCTGAGACGGATTTGGGGGGTTCTATCAGGGGAGCTCAACAGTCTCACGGGCTTATGTTCGAGGCGTGGGCTCCGCAGCATGCCTTGGGGGCTTGAGGTTTGCAGGGCCTGGGCCCTAATCCTTTCGGCTCAAAGAGAAGGGCGCAAAATACGAAGTCCGAGGCGTTCATGCCACAACATCTTTAGATGGTTGAGAGCCTAGATTCAGAGCACGTGGGGCTCGGAACAGTAAACTCCGAATCCCTACATTGTCGAATTGAGGCCCTCAAGCCTCTGCGGCTAGTGGCCACAGGGCTAAGGTGTTCACCTAGAAAGTTGGGCTCTTGGATCACCAGTTTTTGCGGGACTCTCCTTTAACAGGGGTACTGTAAGGAGTATTTGTAAGGGTTTAATGTCGGGGCCTTAGTAATCAGAACACGGTTTTGGGGGAGGAAGGTGCCGACCTCATAACGGAACTTGCAAGGATTCGCTTAACACACAAAGCCACACAGCCGCCTGTTGGTGAAGGTTTCGGATTGGCTTCCAAGGCCCCGAAGTACAGCTTCAGTCCGGGAGGATGCATTCATGCATTCCTACACTATTGTTTGTTCAAGGACTACTACTGTAGGAATCTGATTCAGAAACCCTGATATTAGGGTTCATATTCAGAACCCTAATAAGGGCCCAGGGTTTCTGAATCAGGTTCACATCAGTAGCTTCCCGGAGTCTTTCCAGATAGAGCTTACGCAGCCAGGCCGCAAATACGTCTCGGCCACCCTGTAGGTGTTTATCTCCTTGGATTTCTGGTCGGAGATTGGACTGTCAGGCTTTAAACTCTTAGCACTCTTGCGGTTTCTGCTGCTGGCTTCTTCTTGCTTTTGTTGCTCTAGAGCTCCTAAAGCCTAAACCCTTTTTTTGAGCAGGGACTGCAATGCACTAAGCCCTGAATCCCTTCAGCCAAGCTCCTGACTCCAGCGCTTATGGCAGCCCTAAACCCTAAACCCCTAAACCCTAAAGCCCCAAACCGTGTTCACTGACGGCGGAAGCACTTTCGAAGCGGGGAGGATCCTGGAGCTGTGGCATTTTGCTGCTAGGGTTCAGGGTTTAGGGGTTCAGGGTTTTAGGGTTCGGGCTTCGGGCCGTTTTTTGAGATTTCTGCTAAGATGGCAAAGCGATGCCAAAAAACCTGGGCCTAATGTAGGCGCCTTAATAATTAGAATAGGGTCTTGGGGCCCATTATACTATAGTTATAATCAGGAACCCCCAAACTAGTGTAGGTAATTAGTAAGGCCCCGATAATTAACCCCAAAGCGCACAAATCGTAAGTCTTTCTTTCACTCTACCTGCGATATGCAGATCCAGTGCTCCTCCTAAACCCAGCCGGCAAAGCCCGATCCCTGAGCTTCCCACAGTCTGAAACATGTTCGATCACGACAGACTCATCATGGAACGTCGGAAATCCCTAAACCCTAAACCCTAAACCCTAAACCCTAAGTTTCCCAAACCCGAAACCCCAAACCGAAAACACCCAAATACCGGTGTCAACCCACGAAGCCTTCCACCCTCAGATAATATAGGGGCCTCAAATCGAGGCCCCTACGTTACCTTAGGGTTGAAGGCTTATTGATGATTACCAATATCTTTTTGGGGGTTCCTTAGTATAATTCTAGCAAAATGGGCCCCAAAACCCTATTCAACTTATTAAGGCCCCTATATAGACCCCTTTAAGACACCCGAAATCCTCAAGTATCAGGAAGAGGGTCGAGAAAGTCCATTGGCTGCTTCAGCACCGAACTGCTCAGACGATCCTGCAGGGTGTACGAGCTTTGAAATCAGTTTAGGTGGAAATTCGACCCCCTAAACCCGAAACCTAAGCCCTAAACTCCAAAAATGACTTGAGACCCACCTGCTTCGTCTCCTTGGTGAGAGCATGCGGCACCTGCCCGGAGAGAAAACATCGGTGTTGTCACGGCAGTTCTCACTGTACAATTACTTTCCTGCTCGTGGCTATGACTGCTGCTGAGGGATGCCTGTCTATTTCCCTCATTGCTTATGCCGCCTTGGCGAAGAGCTTCCGATGAAGATCGGGACGTTCTCGTGCGTATCGCACCTGCCGTTTCTTTGCTTTGAAGGGTTCGGGTTCAAGGTTTAGGAATGTAGGACATGGTCGGGTTTAGGATCTAGGACCTCGAAAAGGAATCGCACTGAACGGGCTGAAGCACCTCTAGAAACTCACCAAAACAAACATATTGGGTGCTGGCTTGCAGTTCATCATTACAATGCTTAGGGTCCATGGCATCTATATCGCGTCATCCCTCTCAGACAGCCCTGTCAACTCTGTCGAAACCTCGGAGGGCCTCCATTGGTGAGGGTTCCGGGACCAAATCGTGCAAAGCGACTCAAGGATGCAACCTCATATGGCAAGGGTTCGGGTGGGCACACCTTGAAGTCTGAAGCCCCCAAACCGCGAACCCTATACAAAAACATCTGAAATACCACACTCCCAAATTCCTAAGCAGTAAAGCCCTGAGTCCTAAAACCGCGAAGACCAAAACCCTGATGCAGCTAATGCTCTAAATTCTAAACTTAACATCTCAAACCTCAAACGGTATGTCCTCAAACCTAGATAGTTAGAATAGGGTTGTGCGTTATACTACAGTATACATGAACTATAGTATACATCAGAATTAGTATGTTCTAATTACTGATCAAGGCCCTCTACTCTGTACATCTTTATACCGATGCCTCGAAGAGGAACTTCCCAGCGTTGTTGCCGGCTGTCACCTGCGTGTTGCTGGGTGGTTGATAGGCTTCTTACAAGGCGTTCTTGAAGGCGTCGACGGAGTCCTGGAGTGTTGTGGTCCGTAAACCCGAAACCCGAAACCGCAAGCGTTTTTGTGCCAGGGTATTGCTGCCTGGGTCTTCCCATCCTGAAAAGTCACCGTCAAACGCCGGCTTCTTGCGCTGCGGACTTCACAGGTTAGACACTCATTAATTGAACAACACCTCACACCCTTGTAGAGTCCTTATAGAAACCCCCTTATAGCTTCTAGCTTCGCCCTTTATACCCGTGTAGGACGCCAAAAAGAATCCCTACGCCCAGACCCCGCACAACCTGAAGGTTTCCAATTTCCAAAGCCTTACAGGCCCAGGGACGCATCAACATTGAGACCCTACGGGGGGTTTCCGAAAATAGGGGACCCTAATATAATATAGCACCCTAAATAGTAAGATTCTTGCTAGAAGGACCCCTAAATAAGGTACCCCCTTATTTTCGGAAACTCCCATATCATATTGCTAAGACTACCGATGCACTTACGGTATAGACACGGTTTAGTCTTTAGGGTTCGGTCAACTTTGATACTACTATTCTTGTTGTTGCTAGTGCTGTTGCTGCTGCCAAAAACATGCACAGGGCCCTTTGTTTATGGTGTTCCGGCAGGCCTTGCGGTCGTCAATCTTGATGTGCGTGACTCGGTTGCCTGGGAATGGCTCCATTTTGCAGTGTTCTTGCAGCATGAGCCTGGTAGGAAGTAACATTAGGACCTTAGTCTCGCAAGGTGGCCGATTGTCTCGTAATTCAGAGTCATACGTCAAGTCATAAAAAACGGGGATCGCTAATGTGATTCTGAATTATGCTTCCTTCTCAACGGGTAGTGGTATGGGCTCCCCATCCAGGGCATGAAGTGAGCCGGGGTGATAACTGACCACCGCAAGCAGTACCTAGCAAGAAGCGCTTTGCAATGTTTAAGATGTGGGGGTTTCCGAAAATAGGGGACACTAATATGGTACCCTAAATACTAAAATCCTTATTATAAGGACCCCAAAATAAGGTACCCCTTATTTTCGGAAACTCCCATGTTGCATTATTCCGAAAAAGGGAGCCCCAGCCTTCAGCAAAGCATTAGACATTTTTCAAGATGGCCCACAACTCAAAAGAGCTATCACATAAAGCATCGGGTCTAGTTTCGAAGCGCCTGACTTAGGGATCCTATATCTTTTCGGGGTCTAATATAGGGGCCCTTAATAATTAGAACAGGGCTTTGGGGTCCATTATTCTACAGCTACAATAAGGAACCCCCCCCCAAAACCCTATTCAAATTATTAAGGCCCCTATATTAATGTGTATGGACTTCTTACCAACTGAAATTCCCCAGTCTCCAAGCCGCAAACAGTAGAGGACCCCTTGATATGTAGAGCCTCCTCAGAGAACCCAATACACCTTAATTGAGGAATATACATTAAATTATAGGGGCCTTAATGTTATAATTTAAAGTATATTCCTCAATTAAGGGGTATTGGGTTCTCTGGGTCCAGCCTTTTGACAACGATGCTGCTGGACAAAAAAAGAGACAAGCTTCTCATGAACCTGGCGAAGACCAAGAGTAGCAAGAAGAGTCATCCCGAAACTCATCGTAGACAGATTGCTGCTAGGGAGCGCCGTAGCTGAGATGAATTGCACAATTACACAGTTTCCCTTTTCATGTTAATCTCGTTCTTCTGCCCCCATGCTTTGCTGGTACTGCTCTGACTCTGACGAGTCTGCTTGAAGTCCTTTGCTGCGTCTGGCTGAAGATTGTTTTCTGAAACAACCCCTTTCGGTAACTAGAAGTATGGTAGTTCGTACATATTCTATACCTGAAACTGTCTTTTTACTAGAACGATACCATGTCGAGGGAGACTGCCGCAATAATACATAAATGCATATGCTTACCTTTAAACCCTATAAAAACACTCAAAAAGGTCTTGTTCAGAACTGTTCCGACCCCTAAACGCTATGGATTCCGCCAAGATTCTGGGCTCCAAGGTGCCGGCACGGTGAAAGGCCTGCAGCCAGTGGTGCGTTGAAAGCCACTGGGCATGTGGCTAAACGTAGGGCTTATTGTTTAGGTGTGCTTCAAGTGTTCTGTAACAAGGGCTCCATAAGGGTCCTCTAAGAAGGGTTTTTGGGGAGTTGCAGGTTGATTGAGATTTTGGTTAAAGGAAACTACAGGCAGGGAGTTTAGGGTATATAGGGTTTTCATAAGGCTTCCATAAGGTATATATGTATATATACCTTCCACAAGGCTCCTATAACGGTAACTACCCGCCTGAAAATGTCCTAGGCAAGGTCTGCGGACAAGACGGGCGACATGTTGGAAGGTTTGGAGTTCCCATCCCTCCGCGACCGCGCCGTCAACGGGTAGGACAAAAGGACAAGAAGCAGCAGCCTTTGACGGCTAGTTGAGGGTTTGGGGTTGTTGGGGGGTGCGGACTTGAAGCACATCACGTCGCTATGGAGCAACACAGCTCCTGAACCCTGACCCAGAGACTTCAATACCCCTTAACTAAGGAGTTTACCTTAAATTATAGTAGGATCCCAAATAAGGTTTAAGGTATATTCCTTAATTCAGGGGTATTGGAGTCTCTGGGGAACCCTGAGCCCGAACGTCCTTGGTGAGCCATTCCGGACCCATGTCCTCGGATGGGGTTGCCGGGAGCTGCTCGGTTTAGGGTTTAGGGTTTAGGGTTAAGGGTTTAGGGTTTAGGGTTTAGGGTTTTAGGGTTTAGGGTTATGCCCCCACTTCCGCTGCACAAGACCAAACCCCGAAATCCCAGTCACAACGTGTGTGTAAGGGAGTGCAACTTCATCCGCTGAAGTTATTGGGTAGTTTTCTAGATGAGGGCCCCTTCTTAGATCAAAATAGTACGGCACCCTTATTAAAGGGACCCCCAAAGCGACCCTAATTTAGAGAACTACCGTCTTGGAGGAAGCCTCAAAACCCAATATAGCACCGACTCCCGCCACAGCAGGGGCTTGGAGCGCTAAGGGTCTGGTTCCGGTGACGGTTAGTGGGGTGCTTTGTTTGAGGAGATTTAGAAATTTAGGGTCGAATCTAAATAAATAAACCAATAAATAAATAAATGGATCTATATATATATATATATATACAAATATGTATGGGCGCTATTAATAGTTAGAATAGTGCTTTGGGGTATACCAGACTATAATCATACTAAGGAACCCCCCGAAATAGTACAGGTAATTCTTGAGGCCCCTATTATTAAAAGGCTCAATATGCAGACCCAGGCTGGTACTGCGGCACTTGGACACCAGAATCTTTGACAACAGTTGGGGCGCGTTTCAGACCGGCAAGCCCCACACTGTTTACCCTAAACCCCCGTTACCCTAGAACCTAAACCCTCAACCCTAAACCCTCAATCCTCATCCCTAAACCCCGTTCCCCTAAACCCTAAAACCCTAAACCCTCAATCCCTTCAACCCATCTTCCGGCAATGTTGCAGCCAAGGCTCCTTCAGGGTCTCCGCCTGCTTCAGGGGCTTTGGGTGCCAAACTTGTCCAAACGTCTCACACCTACCTCTGGGTTTAGGGCTTAATATAGGGGCATTAATGATTAGAATAGGGTTTTGGAGCCCATTATGCTATATTTATATTAAGGAACCCTCAAAACAGTATAGGCCATTATTTAGGCTCCTACATTACCTTTGGGTTTAGCGTTTAGTTAGGGGTTAGGGTTTGAAGCTCTGGGCCCTAGATCCCCAAACAGGCTCACATCCCAAAGCTTCAGCACTGCCTGACAGCAGTTTTGGTGTAAACAACGAAGTAATTGAAAATTCTTCCTGGCCCACTTCCTGCACTTGCAGCCGACATCGGTACGTCAGCCGCGTGACCAGCCGGCTAGCATGCACACCGACATTGGTTAAAACTGGCAGCATCAAACCTGGAACATGGCAGATGCAATCCGAAAGCCGAGCGTGATAGAAAGACATCAATTCGAAACGCAAGCTTACCCGGCTGCACCCCAAAACTCGACGTTAGGTTTCAAGTGTACGGTTTACACTCAGGACCCAGAGATAGAAAAAACTGAAAGCCAAGCTATGGTGTCACTTCTGGCCAAGGGGCAGACCAGGGGAACTCGATGCCGTAGAAAACACCCGGGGCCTTCTTGCTGTGATTGTTGAGAACCTCAATGGGTGGGATAACGGTAACATAGGGGGCCTAGGCCGAAAACCCTAAACCTTAAACCCTAAGTAATAACATAGGGAGCCTAGGCCTAAAACCCTAAACCCTAAACCCTAAAACAACAAGGAATAAGGCTTCTGGGGGACATTCCAAGGTTAGCATAACCATACGAAGGAACCTTATGCAACCAGTACTCCTAATGCCTTATGCTTCCATAGGTAGTATTCAGGATCCCGTATGAGAGGGGTCTCCGGGCTTGAGGTCTGTAGGGATAAGAAATGTATCAAGGATCCCTGAAAAAAGACTGAAAGCTTCTCTCAGGATCTGTTCTCTGATATGAGGATCTCGGCTTTCAAACGCCAAAAGGGACGGGGCTGAGGGGAGGGGGATCGGACAAGAAGTCGGGTCTAGGTATATGAGACTGGGGTGTTTCATCCGGCGGTGCAACTCCAAACCTATCCACCTATGCTTTGTATCCATCCCTCTATCTGCATATGGGTAGTGGTCTAAATTCGGGTACCTTTTGGGGTCCTTTTCATGAGGGTGCCGTACTATATTGGGGACCGAAAAAGGGACCCCAATTTAGAGAACTACCCATATGGCATGGGGGCATCCCCACGACGACAAGCGCTGCTTTCTCCATGTCAGGAGCCTCTATGCCACAGATTCGGGGCCCTGAGGTGAACCCACAAGCACATTCAAGGTTTAGGGTTTAGGGTTTAGTTTGTAGGGTTTCGGGTTTAGGCCCGAATCCGACTTCCGAGACATGTGATGCAAAAGCAGCTCAAGGTTGCGATGACAAAAGTCGGGTACACAACTTGGCTCCTTGTCGCGCGCCTTCTGGACTACGACTACTATGGTTTCCAATCTCCAACAAGACTGAGGCATAGATCATCTCGAGGTGCCGAATTCTTATCCCAACTTTCGGTGAGTTCGGATGTCTACAGGACATAAATTAAGATCCTCTGAGCCTTCGGCCCTTGGCTAAGAGTTTCTGCAACGGACTATGTTCCGCATCCCTTAAACCCTGACTATACCCGGTGTGCCTATATAGGCCTTATGAAAGTTGTGGGGCACCCTGAGAATCTACAGCTTTGCAGCACCGCCCTACAGGACCTTTGTGGGTTTAGGATAAACCCCTAAACTGTAAAACCCGAAACCTTCAACCGTAAACCCTCAAACCCTCAACCCTAAACTCATAGGGTTTCAGGCTTAAGGGTTGGAGGGTCGGGGGTTCCTCCACACAAACCATCGCCCTTCTTGCCGGGGTACCGTGTCGAGCTGGATGAACGTCCAGCCGACCGCCCTGGAACGTTCCGCTTCCTGGGAACTTAAGGGGTTCAAAGCAGAATTATATAGGGGTTCAAACAAAGGATTTGGGAGTGGAGGGATTTAATATAAGGGCCTTAATAATTTGAATAGGGTTTTGTGGCCCATTACACTGTAACTATAATAAGGAGGCGCAAAACGCTTTCAACGAGGAACCTACCTGAGCCATACCAAGGATCAGCCTGCAGCTATATTCCTTGCTACACGGTTTAGACCTCCCCATGCACCCCAAGAAAGCCCCGGAGTCAAAGGAACCTTCGCCAACTAAGGGTTTTTTGGAATTCTGCAGGCTCTCCGGTTTTGGCGAGTGGCGCAGCGATTGGCCAAATCTGCCACCTCAGTTTCGAAAACGAAGTGGGGTCTGCAATTTCAACTTGTTTGGGATTTTAGGGCTTGATATAAAACCCAAGAGATTATGCTGGGTTCTTGGGCTGGGTAACGTGAAGATATAGATTTAGAGGAACCAAGACTGTATTTGGGCTTATGGATGGACTGCTTTTGAAGCATAGGGACACGGGGGGCCACAAAACAGTACTTAAAGGATCATGGGACTTAGCAAGTAGGGCTATAACTAAGGCAACTGTACTTATAACCCGAATTAGGGGACTTATAACCCCACTTACTAAGTCCCATGATCCTCCAAGTAGGGCAGGATTTTCGGTGCAACTTCTTGAGAATCAGGGGGTTAGAAGTCGAAATCTCATGTTCCAAAGGCTAAGCCGATAAGCTCTGAACCCCTAAACCGCAAGGCCCGCTTTGAAACCGTTGGGGCGCCTGATTTGCAAAAACTCTGAACCCAAAGCCCTACACTTTGAATCCTGACCCCAGACACACTGAACGCCCCATCATGAACCCCCATAGAACTTGTAAAAGCTCTGCTAACACTCCATAGAGAAAGAGCCTTGTGACACACTTATGAAGCTTTTAAAATTAACTAAATCCCTGGTCAAACACTTTAAAAACCAATGTAATCCACTTCAATGAAAGATAATGAAAGCGTATACAACACGTCCATTACAACCGCTTAAAATCGATCTAAACCCTAAACCCTAAACTCATACTTATAAAACCTTGTGAAACCCTAGATTCTTCTTCCCAGGCCTTGCAGCAAACCCCAGAAAGTTGGAACATGGGTTTGGGAAAACTTGTGCTAGGATCCCCTACACTTTACCTTAAGGCCATGAGGATTACAATGTTCCAACTTTATGGCTTCTACTAAAATATAGGGGCCTTGAAAATTAGAATAGGGTTTGGGGGTATAGTATACTACAATTATCATAAGGAACCCGAAAAGCCCATTCTAATTATTAAGGCCCCTACCTTAGGGTTTTCGGGTTTAAGGATTTCCTTTTTTTTCCAGTGCCTGAGCATCCTCGAGGGCTTTCTGCTGCCGATGCCGCTGCTCAAGCTCCTGGGGGCGATGGCTTGAACTCCTTGGGGGGTTTAGGGTTTAGGGTTTTAGGGTTTAGGGTTTAGAGAAGTTTACTCTGAACCCCCTAGGGCGCAAAAATAAGGCTCTGCGCTTCATACGTGTCTTTTGGGTGCTTCCTTCGCTTGTGTTAGGGCCCCTGTAAAGACTCCAAGAACGAAGTCCGGCTGTGTCTGCAAGGGTTCCAAAAAGGGTTCCTGTGAACTGATTTCTGTTTGAATTGCTGTAAGGATTTCTGTCGGGGACGAGTTCCTGCCCGGGTTGCAGCAAGGGCTCCTAGAAGGATGGCTGAAATTATTCGGGGCCTGGGGGTTTGCAGTTTGCGGTTCAGGGCTTACGGTAGACACTGGAGGTTTGTGGCTTAGGGCTTAGTTTTCTTTCTGGCTGCCGGTGGTTTCCTGGGTCGATTCCGTTGCATAAGATGTGAGGACCCGCTTTGAGGGTCATAATGCTGGGATCCCCATTGTCATCCTCATATGAAGATGCGGCTGAGGGTCTCTGTACCACAATATATATACATATGTATATATATATATATATATAAATACATACATGTACAATTCAAGCAAATAAATACAAATGTATGTGCCCCAGTTTTTATATATATATATATATATATATATACAGATATATAAGTATATATATATATATATACATACACATGTGTGTGTACATATACATGCGGGAAGCCGAAATAATAAGTTGTGACAAACTACTTAGAGCCCTACAACCAAGTTGTTGGAACACCGACCCTAAACACTGAACCGTTATACCCCTAACCCCTAAACCCCTAACCCCTAAACCCTACCTTAACCCACCAGAACCTACGAGTACTGTTTTGTAGGTTCACTATAAATCCCATATTAGGGTGTATAATAAGAACCTACAAAAAGTGGGTTTTGGTAGGTTCAGGTAGACCCTAAACCCCAAGACCCAAAACCCCTAAACCCTAGACAACAAACCCTTTTTCACAAGGGACTCTGCTGCTGCCCTAAACCCTCAAATCTAAAACCCTAAAGCCCTAAACCCTCTCGGACACTTATCGCCATGCCTGCAGTTTGCGAGTGTGTGAGTCGAAAGCCCGAAACCCTCAGCCCCAAGCCCCTAAGGGACTCCTAAGGCCACTCCTCGGGAGTTTCGATCATCTTTGGATCCAGAAACGGCCGGGTGCTCTGATTCTTTTTGGCGGCCTGGGCTTCCCTAGTCTTGGATATATATATATATATATATACATATACATACACGGTTTAGGGTTAAGGGTGAGATTTCGTGGGGTTTCCGAAAATAGGGGACCCTAATTTAGTACCCTAAATAGTAGAATCCTTACCATAAGGACCCCTAAGTAAGGTACCCCACTTTTCGGAAACTCCTATTTCGTGGGGTTTAGAGTTTAGTGAAAATTTATGGTTTGGGGGCTTAGGGATTTAAGGGGTTTTAAGGTTTAGGATTGAAGGGCTTGTGGTGTTTAGGGTTTTCATAGGTTTTGTGGGGTTTAGGGTTAGGAACGTCTTGAGGCGTCGGGGGCTTAGGGCTTTGAAGTTCAGGGTTTAGGGATGGTGTGGAGTTGAAGGTTGAGGGAATCTAAGGATAAGTGCGCCAGGGCTCCGGCTTAGAGGCTTCGGGGGTCTAGGGGCTTAGAGTTTTCGGGCTTCGGGCGGTTCCTGACGAAGACGACTGGCTTTCATTTCTTGGTTGCGACTTACATGAGAACCCTGTAGCTTGACACACATGGATAGCCCTCTTAAAGTAGGGTCCGTGTTTTGGGGTCCTTTTTATAAGGGTGCCGTACTAGCTTGGGGACCCCCAAAAGGGGACCCCCAATTTAGAGAACTACCCATAAAGAACCCTTGTTGTACCCTTATACAAGCCAACCTGAAGGTTTAGCTGCATTTGAAGGGTTAAGGTCTGAGGGCAGGTTTGGGTTTTTCGTAAAGAAAGGCCCAAAGGAGCCACTCGGATGTGCCGTGGCGCCAGGCACAGCGCCACTTTGCGCTCTGAGGCTGTGTAGTCGGACCACTTCTTCTGTGGCACCTTCTTAGGGGTTCATGGCCATTCTGAGATGAGGGGATCAGAAGACTAGGCTTTTCTTGGGGATTCGGAACCGGGGCAAGGCTCTTCAGGGTGTGAGCGCTAGGCGCGCTAGGGTTTCGGCATCGAAAAGGCAAGCCCAAAGCTCTCAAGCCCGCAGCATGAACCCCCTGCAACTGCTAAGGGCTATGGGGGTTTCCGGAGTTCCTAGGTGCGGCTGGAACTACTATCAATCATCTCAGACTATCAACTCCAAAAATAGCCAGCAGCGCTTCCCTAAACAACTCTGACAACCTTACCCCAAGTCCCTAGGCCTGCCCTGTGCCCTAATCTGAACTCTGGAGCCGTGGAAACGCAATGTCCGAGAAACCTGAGAAACCCTACACATACCTACATGCGTACATACATACATAGATGCAGACAGGCAGACAGACAGGCACACCGACAGACAGACAGATCTATTTATCGGCAAATGCATTTGATATTGTTATTTATTTGCACATATACACACATCCATACATATCATATACAGATATAGAAGATATACAGATATAGAAATAGATATAAGTAGACCCTGAGATAGAGATAGAGATACAGATATAGTTATAGATAGAGATGTACGTATAGATCTAGGAGATCTAGACCTAGATCTATGTATAGATACTCACTGCAAGCCCTGCATTGTCCCTGGAGTTTTATGCTCTTAGCAAAGTCCCACTTTGAGGCACTTGGGTCTGCCCCAAATACCCGGAGCTACTTGTTGCCTGCTTGTCAGGCGGTGCAGGGTATAGGGTGGGTTTCGACTCTCACTCTCGCACAAGGCATTCAAGGCTTCACACACTAGGGTGGGTTTAGGGTTTAGGGTGTAGGGGAGGGACTATCTACGGGCCCCGTCCATAATTAACCTACAGTGCTTGCGAAGCCCGTCAAGGTTTTACAAGACACCCAAGTAGAACTCTGATAAAACCCAAACAAAAACCTTTGGCGCCCTCAGAGAACCTTCAAAGAAACCCTTCCAGACTAGTACATCTGGGAAGTTTGAAAGAAACCCTAAACCTTAAACCCCAAACCTTAAAACCCTACATAGTACCTTTCTAGAACCCTTTACCGAATTCCAGCCCAACAGTCCGATATAGAACCCATGTGACCACGGATTTGAAAGCCAGCCTCCAGGGCTGTATTGCAGCCCTTCTCCTTCAGGTTCTTCATCTCAAAGAACACCATCTTCCCACCTGGTCTCCACAAAGGATCCCCGCCGAGTGCACGGCATCATACCTAGGCCTGAATCTTTAGCATAGGCTTTCTGGGCCATGTTGTGATTTAGTTATATGGAAGCTGCAAGAGGGCACTGCTTCGAATTGTTCCGACCCCTTTATGGGTAGTTCTCTAAATTAGGGTCCCTTTTTAAGTCCTCAATATAGTACGGCCCCTTATAAAAGGACCCCCCCTAATTTAGAGAACTACTCATATGGCTCCTATACTGAACGGCCATGGGGGGTGGCCGGTCAGCCTTTCCGAGGTTCAGGAGCACTGCCATCGGCAAAGGCACAAGTCGCCCAAATAGGGGGTGCCCGCATTCCACGGACCGTTACATTAAGGTCAGCATCATTTTCTTGAAGGATCCCTATTCTAGTTTTGGGGACTTACTTCCATAATAAGAGTATATACGGACCCTCCTTAACCCTAAAACCCTATAAACCCTAAATTCTCAGGGGGTCTCTTGACCACCAAGAGCCTGCATCTGGCGACTGCTTCTATTTGGATTGGGGGTAGACCTTGACGCTTCCGCGATTGTCGGGATTTCCTTGGGCACATCCATCACGGCCAAGTTTCTGTTCATCAGCGGTGCTTAGGATCTTAGCTAAGCGTGCAAGTGAAGCACTCAAATTTAACACGTTTCTTGTGTAAGAGATGGATTTGAAGAGAATTATTCCGACCGCACAGACATCCATCTCCACAGCGCCACAGCAGCCGAGCTGCTAGATGTGTAGACCTGTCCAGCACAGTGGTCGCAGGCTGGGCTAGGCTGGGATACCCAAACGCACAACCCAATGTTTCTGACAAACCTTGAGATTCCTAAATTAGGACATACCCTAAACCCTACATTAGGACATGCTGCAAGGACCTGTCGCCCAGAACACAATTGCCCGGCATTCCGCACTTTGGAACCGCACATCTGCAAGCTACGCGGTTGAATGGAGCTTCTGTGGGCACAAACGGGAATCCTACAAAAGGATCCATGTTGGTTTATGGTTTAGGGTTTTAGGGTTTAGGGTTTAGGATCTAGGGTGTAGGGTTTATAGCAGGTGTCCCCCGGATCTACGTTTAGGTCCTTTTTTATGGTTGACCTACTGTCCTTTTATGGGAGTCTACACAAAAGAGCACCACTGGGACGCCAGATAACTTCAACACTGTGATGCGAACCATGCTTATCCCTGGTGTCTGAACAGAAAATTATAGCTTGAATAGCCAGGATGGGTTCTTGTGGGGCATGTCGGTTTTAGGGTTTAGGGAGCTAAGGGTTTAGGGTTGGGCATATCATGCTATACGGGGGCTTTCCGGAAGTAGTGTGTCGAATATTTCAAGCCGAAGCCACGATCCAGTCGAGGTCTCGGGGTGTATAGCAAATCCAAACCCTAGACCGGAAACATCGGACGGTATGGCTTGTGGGTCATGAAATAACCTCAGCCCACCAAGTTCACAGGTCGAAAACCTCGAAGCCCGCAGCCTAGACCCTGTAGAGGTTCGCAGACCCCCGGGAGGATCCAGAAAGTAGATCCCCTATTATGGGATTTTAACTACTACAGCGTACTCTATTTGAACCGCCTTAAGGGATCAACTTTTTGGATCCTCCTGGGGGTCTGGGTTACTAGAAAATCCTGAAACCTGAGCCGACACACTTCGGATACTCCCCAGGACGCGGGATTTAGGATATCCAGTTTAACCCCCAGCCGTCCAAGGAATCTCAATGAGAACCCCCTACTTGGAGGATCATTGGTCTTAGTAAGTAAAGTTATACGTCCCCTACTTGGGGTTATAAGTATAGTTACCTCAGTCATAACCCTACTTACTAAGTCCCATGATCCTTTAAGTACTTGTGGTCGAAAGCCACTGCATTGGGTAGCGCAGGGTGGCCTTTGGTCCACGACATGCGTCCACCTTTCTCGGCACCCCCGACAGTACAGTTTAGGGTTTCAGGGTCTAGGGTTTAGAGGTTTAGGGTTTAGGGTTTAGGGTTTAGAGTATTAGGGTTTAGGTTTTAGGGTTTTAGGGTTTCAGGGTCAACTAAGCTCGGCCTTGCTGGTAGGTGTTTTTCGGCTTTACACAGCAAAACATGGCTTTATGAGGAGTGTACAGTGCATAGGGTAAAGTTTTGCAAGGACTTTTTGTGGGAGTTCATTGACCTAAACTCTCGATCTTAGGCCTGTTCCTGAATAGCGACACCCTCCCCGAATGGGTGCAATCGTCAAACGCATTGGGCCTCTGGTTGTCTTTAGCTGATTGTATGGCTTCGGTTCTTCTTTTGGCATTCGCAGGCGCGGGTTAAGGAGACGACAGATCACAAACTCTGCGACTCAGGCAAGCCCGGAGAACCCAATGCCCCTCTATTAAGGAATATACCTTAAATCATAATATTAAGACCCCTATAATCCTATAATTTAAGGGTCTATTCCTTAATTAAAGTGTATTCGGATCTCTGGGAGCTTCGCCTGGGTTTCGGGTTTCTGAGTGGCCCCGGATTTTGAGTCCCGACCTTTAGGGCTCGCGGTGGGTTTAGGGTTTAGGGTTTAGGGTTAGGTTTCACACTGCAGGCACCGAAACGTCAGGGGCAGAACAATTTCAACTCTTACGAGTCTACGGGTTTAGGGTATAAAGTCTAAAGGGATCGTCTTGACAGTGGGAGTTCCCCGTCAATACCGATTGGTTGCCATGAAACTCAGGGCAGCCTATTTCACAAGCTACTTTGAGGAGTCCACTGTTTTTCTGTTTCACAAAAGCTAAGCTACTTCTCCGAAGCCCCAACAGTGACACCAAGCAATAGGGATGCAACATATTTGACAGAAGGACCCCCTAAAAAGCACCCGCACTTGCCTCAAGCTGCCTATTTCAAGGAGATTGCTGTGACGGGCGCAGCTGCCTCGAGTAGCTCAGTCGCACCACCCACGAGGACGCGCACCTAGAGAGAATTCAGGGTTCCTACAATGGCTTTAGGGCTTAAGCTTTAGGGTTTAGTTTTAGGATGCCGGTTCGAGGTTTAGTGTTCCTATAATTTCGATAACAAGGATTTGCTTAGGATTTCTATAATGCCTATCAGAAAGGCTTCCTATAATCCCTAGAATACGGATTCCTGCAATGCCTATAACAAGGCCTCCGTTATACCTGGAAACTGGGTGGCTTCAGCTTTACATAGGGCCGTGCGCTCTCCCCTTTTATTCGTATGGCTTGAGGATCTAATTCTATCTAATTGTAAGAACCTTCTTCTGTAGAACACCAGTTCCATCTGTCCTTGCTAGCTTGTTGGTCACGAATCAAGGCAAGTTGTAGCCGACAGCCTCAAGATTTCCGAAGAGTTACGACGATCACGCCCCCCCGGCCCCATATGGCCGAAGCACAAAGAGCAACATATGTTGAAGGTTCATGTCCAACCTCACGGGAAAATCGGGGGCTCGCAAACCTTAAGGACCCTACGCTATGGGAAGTATGGTATATTCCCTATTATGGGTCATGCAGGAGTCATATCATCAACTGTAGCTTCTAAACCCTAAACCCTAAAACCCTAAACCGTAAGCCCTAAACCCCTGAAGCCCTGAGCCAACCGTAGTTTCTAGAATTCGCCAGAGGATTTGGGCGCTTCCGAAAATAGGGGACCCTAATATAGCACCTTAAATAGTAGGATCCCTATGGTTTAGGGTTTAGGGTTTAGGGTTTAGGGACCCCCAAAATACGGTACCCCTTATTTTCGGAAAGTCCCATTTAAGGTCCGAGCAAGTCCCTCCACCGTCTCCAAGTCTGTGCATTGCGGGCCCTCCGTCTGGCAAGCGCCTGAGGTTTGGGGATTAACTGGTCTTTAGGGTTTAGGGTTTAAGGGTTAAGGGTTTAGGGTTTAGGGGTTTAGGGGAAGCTTAGAAGCTGTGCTCTTTTATGAGTATAAAGAACAGATAACATAGAGGCCTTAATAATTAGAATAGACACAATAATCGTCTAAAAGAAGGATACTACTGAGGGCCTGAAATATTCATGGTATGCATATTACCCTTCAGTTACTGACACTGAGTGGGGGCACTATTCAGGTCACGGCCGCAGTCAGGGGTTCAGGGCTGTAGGATTTTCGTGCTGAAGGGTTTCCTGCCGAGCTTGGAAGCGTCGAGGAGCCTTTGCTCTTTCATGCGGAGATAGACTCCTTAGCATAATAGTGGTGAAACTGGAGAGTATACACACAATGTGCGACAACTGGGGTCAAGTATTTTTGCGTTTTAGGCTCATTCTCCTGCGGCCCTAAATTGAGTTGAGCCCCAGTGGGTTTGAGGTCTGTGGGGCCATGCCGCCATATCCGTCTGCCATGTCATGGCCTGGGTCTTACGGTTAGGGCTTCTGAGGTACTAACCACTGAACGTCAATGGCTACCTAGGTCGAGCACAACCTGTCACCATAGCTCCCTGTTAAGCAAATCTTATGAAGACCCCAAATACAAAAAACTCTGCACACCCGCTCATAGAAGGCCTCAATATCATCGAACCCTTTTCGAGCCCTTCTAGTATCTCCTACAGAACCCTCGAGAGTAACCCCTTTAGAACCCTCAACGGAATCCCCTAGATCCTACACCCTGAACCCGAAACCCAGAACCCCAATACCCCAAAACCCTTTTGCAACGGCCTTGTCAGATCTCGACCGGACTGATAGCCCACAGCAGTGACTTCACCCTAAAACCCTAAACCCAACAGCTTCCAACCCCAAACCCTAAACCCAAAACCCCTAAACCCCTAAACCCATATCCCTAAGCCCGAAACCCTAAACCCTTAACCCAAAAAGCCCTAAACCCTCTTCGCATAACGCCAAGATCTTCTCAAAAATCTTACAACCCTAAAACCTAAACCCCAAAAAAACCTAGAACAACCCCAAACCCTCTTCTCAAAACGCAAAGATCTTCGCAAGCCAAGACCGGGGCTTCTGGGAGGCGCTCGACGGTACTTCGGCAAACCAAAGTTCATGGAGCTGCCGCTGTGGCTCTCGCTGAAGCCACGGCTTTGGGTTTAGGGTTTTAGGGTTTAGGGTTTTAGGGCTTAGGGGTTTAGGGGTTTAGGGTTTAGGGTTTAGGGTTTTAAGGTTTTAGGGTGTAGGGGTTAGGGGTTGAGGGTTTAGGGTTTTAGGGTTTAGGGGGTGTGGCTCTCGTTAAACCCGCCCACCACAAAAAGGCAGAGAGACAGGTTGAACTCGGAGTATTTAGGCATAGGCCTTAGGCTCTACACTTATCATCACTTATCCAAACTTCGAGGACTTCGTCTCTGAATCCGAATAGTTTAGGGTTTAGGGTTTAAGCTATCCGTCGAAATCCTGCATTTTGGTCCCTAATCAGCTAAGCTCTGTAAACACAATTCGAGCAGTCAGCTTGAGCAGGTCGGCAAATTCCCGTTATACGTGAATTCTTTCTATTTTCACATACATCCTCGATATTCGAGATATGGTCTTGCATTGTAAATCTTTTATGTTGTGGATATGTTTCTGGTCTTGGGGTGGGTTGTGGAATTCATGGTGGCTTCGCTGGGCGAGTGACCAGGATGTTTGGCTTCGAGAAGCGTGGGTTCTGGGGGTTCCGAAAATAGGGGACCCTGATACAGTACCCTAAATAGTAGGATCCCTTTTAGAAAGGACCCCAAAAGACGGTACCCCTTTCTTCGGAAACTCCCAACCCTGTAAAATGGTGCTTGAAAACCGATATAACCTGCACTCCTACTACAGCTACGAGCCTGGAAAAAAGACTTCTCCTATACAATCCTGTTTTGCGGCAGTACGCAGTGCTTCAGAGTATGGCCCCTAAAAGTTTCAAGCTTACATTGATCGCAGCTCTGCCTGAACACCCGTGAAAACAGAGCCCCACAATGTAAACTTGGGTTTCAAATCATGGCCGGTAGGTAGTTGCAACTCAGCTTCTTCTCTGTCCCTTGAGCATGATAAACCCAACACCGTGGGGTACAGGAAGCTGAGATGAAGCTATGAATGAACTTCAACCGATACGCACCTCAATCTTGTTCTTTCTTCCTCAGGTCTTGACCCTAAACCCTAAACCCTAAACCGCTTGACCCACAAGCTCAGTCGCACCTTGCAGACGCGCTGCTGGAAACCATGAAGCCATCCCTAAGGTTGAACCCATGGGCCCCTAGTCTGGGCCCTTAACCCGGGACCCTTATATACCTGCTACATACCCTATATGAACCCGTAAGGGACCCTAGAAAGGCCTAAGGGTCCATATTAGGGGCCCATACTTCTAACCTTGGACCATCAGAGCCTCAACCGTAAGTTGCAGTTCCAAACTCCCAGCACTGCACCCAGAGCAGCAAAACGTGCCAGGGGCGGTCCCGGACATAAGTTGGCCTCGGCATTTTAAAACCCAGCGCTGTCTAAGAAGCCAAAAACGATTCTTGCCCCTCGCCTAGCTAGGACAAGCCTGCATTGCCAGGAAGAAGATGAGGGTTTGAGAGTGTGTAGGAGTTCCTGGAATGTAAGAACCTTGGGGTTTTAACATTTGAGGATTTGAAGGCTACAGGCTTTGTGGTTTGGGTTCAGGGGCTTTGTGTTTGAGTCCGTTTACGGGGGGGTCGGGTTTGGCGGCTAAGACTTTGCAGGGTTTGGGATTTGCAGCCCCCAATTGAAACCGATGCATCCAACCTTTCGTGGGCAATGCTGGCTGCAGCTGAAGATTGCACCATGTTGAGCAACTGCAAGCCTTACTTTTCAAATGCTGTACAACCATTTTGATCCCGCGGGCGAAAGTTTCGAACATACATCCCTAAACATACAGTATTATCTGGGCTAATCCTGGTTGCTTTATGTGGATCTATGGCGAGCCTTCCATTATTCCTGCATTGATCATTGGTCGGCAATGCAGCGCTTCGAGTCTACATGTGATACATGGGTAGTTCTGTAAATTAGGGACGAGTCTTAGGTCCCCCAAAAAGTAGTGCATTCTTACAGAAAGACCTTAACGGTAACGAGGACTCTAGATTTGGAGAAGTACCCATGTGAATTCCAAGGTCCAGCGTCTCGGATGTAGGTGGCCTAAGCCTTCAAGGCAGGAAACCGACGGCTTCCCCAAACTTTCAATACATACATACATACATACATACATACATACATACATACATACATACATATATATATATATATATACAGAGTTAAATACAAACATACACATAAATAACTAAATGAATGAAAAATACATGAAAATAAACATATATATATATATATATATATATATTTGTAAATAGATATACATACATAAAAATATAAATATAAATGAATATAAGCATATATATATATATATATCACAGCTTTCCTTGGTATAGCGGCCTTGCTGTTGACTTCTTAACTGACGAAGTGCCTGATGAATGGCAGTGTGTATAACAAAGACAAGTCACGATGAACATTCAAAGTTTGACTATACAAAGACTACAAGAATGTCATGACATGGTTAGAACAGCACCTTGGGGTGTTTCATAATATGGTTATAGGATTCAGGAACCCTGAGAAAATAGAGTAGGAATAGCATAGGTAAGTGCTCAAAACGGTTGCCTACTGCACTACTAAGATCCCTTATTAACCCTATTTGTAGAACCCCTGACAGAGGCTCCTACATTACATCGGACCTTTAGTGCTGGGATGCTGGCTCGTCTGCGAGCGGTGTGACCTTGGACTTTTGAGGATTACCGGACCTGCCTGCCTACTACTTCGGATTCGGGTAACCTTAGTTTAGGGTTTAGTTTAAGCACTTATTTCGGATTAGGTTCGTATTCATAAACAACTAATCTTTGTTGTTAGACACCGTCTGAGACGAGGAGTAGTTATCTTACAAACGGTACTGCCATGAGCAGTGTTCTGGGTTTGGCTCTGTTTGGTCCTCAACCGACGACCCAAACCCGTAACCCTAAACCCTGAACTCGAAACCCTAAACTAAAACCCGATTAAACCCATACGCTCCATAAGACCCTGTAACACACGCATAGACCGTATAAAAAGCCCATTTCAAACCCCTCTAAAGCCCTGCACCCTGAAGCTTCGAAACCTCCTGAGTTGTGGAGGGTCTGCTTTGTGCCACTACCATGTGGGTAGCTCTCTAAATTAGGGTCCCCTTTTGGATCCCCAATGTAGTTTTCGGCACCCTGATAAAAAGGACCCTAAAAGGGACCCCAATTTAGAGAACTACCCATGTCAACATTCGCCTCCCCCCAAAAAGTCTGCAAGCTGAACCCTTGGACTCTCGCAACTCGGAACCCCCAAACCCTCGTAACGGTTTAGGGGTTTAGGGTTTAGGGTTTAGGAGTAATCTGAGTCTGGAGGGATTGCAGCCTGGGCCGAGCCTGACTTTGGTAGACCTAAAGCCGCGTGCTTTGGAATTTCCATGGGCTCCAGTTCTGGCTCGAGGGGCCATCATCGAAGTTTACATACTGTGGATGATATAACTCCTGCACAATTATGGTCTATTCCTCATTAAGGGGTAATGCAGGATTTCTATCATCCACCGTAGGTCTTCAGCACAACCTTGAAGCCCAGTACCCTGGCCCAAACAAGTTTAAACTTTTCTTTTAGTAGTGGGTTTAATATACCAAAAAGTTTAAAGTTTACCTACTGGGCTCCTAAGACAACTCTAGGGAGCGGGCCGGATCCACGACCTGTTTGTTCCGGCGGATCTGCCAGATGACCTCGGCTGTGCACGTCGTCTTAGCTGCCGAGTTTCCTGGCTCTACACATGGTAGGGCTATACATATATATATATATATAATGTATATATATATAATGTATATATATATATATATAATACATGGAACAGATCCAAATTCGACTCAGCTACTAAGCCAGCTACTAGCTTCGACGACATTCCTAAACATTAACCCCTCAACCCTCGAAGACCCAAACTACCTTGCTTGTTTCCCACAGCACAAAGGGTCCACGTACCACTATGGTAGCTACTTCGGAAATATTTGGGCCCCAAAACTTAAAAAAGCATGGTTTAGGGTTGGGGGTTTAGGTTTTAGGGTATATATTGCACTAGAACTTGGACCCTTTGGGAACCCGTGATCTTGCCCCAATGTGCCCGTGGAAGCCTCGACTGCACAACACATGGTGCCAAGCAGCTGCCGTTGCGCAGCCTGCTGCTGCAAGAACACCCAAAATTGCAGCAACGGCCTCACTCAGATTTCTGGGAAGGTGTCTGGCCCTAAGCCCTCAACCCTAAAGCGGGTCTACTTGAAAGGTCACGGGTGTCATAAGGTTGGCGGTGTTGTGACAAGGCTTCTTTCTGCCTGGCTACGGCAATGACGCTGAACCACCCATGAACTCTCCACCACAGTTCTAAACCCACAGCCACAGCCCCAAAGCCTTCGTTACGGCCCTGAAGCCCTCAACCTAAAATGAATCAACCCTAAACCCTAAACCCTAAACCCTAAACCCTAAACCCTAAATCCTAAGACCAAGAAGCTCCATGGAGAGCTTTCGTAGAGCGGGGGCACAGGGGGATCAAGGCAGGCACTCGGACTCCTACTCAGAGGATCATGGGACTTAGTATACTAGGGCTATAAATAAGGTAACTAGACTTATAAGTAACTATGACCGCAATTAAGGTGGTTATAACCTTACTTACTAAGTCCCATTGATCCTCCAAGTAGGGCACATCCTATCAAACCCTTCCCTTGACACCCTTGCCGCTCAACCCATGTACGGCAGAAGCCTTAAGGTAAAATATAGGGGAATCCCAGCACCAATCATCCTAAAGCCATGTTCCAACTTTCTCGGATTCACTGTAGAACACTTCCGGAACCCTTACAGGAACCTGCGATCCTCTCTCATTGCTATGATGATCAGCACTTATCGGTCCTACTGGGTATTCCCATGATACCGGCTCACTACCAATATCTTTATCATTATCACTGTCATCATCACTGTACTAGTCTCCATATGGTTATCATGACTGATAGTTTCCTCGCGCCCACTTGTAACATCATCACCATGACCAAACTTGTGACGGTTGCTGTAGTTGATTATGCTTGGGATCCCTGCCGGCCTCAGTACTCACGCTGCACTTGAGGCCCAGGGCACGGATATGTGGGGTTGCAGGTCGGCAACTATAATTCAGCCCGTGCGAAATCCTCGAGATGTTTTTTCTGAAGCTCTGTGGGGTCTCTTAAGAAAGGGTTGCTGCAGCGCCAGGTTCAGCTCCTTACAGATTTAGGGTTTAGGGGAAACCCCGAAGCACCAGAACCACCTTGCGCAAGGTGCTAAACAGTCAACCCCCCTCCCAGGAGATGCAGATTCGATCAGAGTCACATTCACCACCACATTGTTGCCATCCGGCTCCTGGAAGTGCGTTTAGGGTTTAGGGCTCTTTTCTTGGTGAACTCTGTCCCTGCTTGTGACAATCGACAACATCTAGTTGCGAAGTATGACATGTCTGACGTAGTCTTTACTGGGCCCACCCAGAGAGCCCAATACCCCTTAATTCAGGAATACACTTTAAATCATCATATGAAGCCTCTTCGAACTTAAGGTCTAATCCTTAAATTAAGGCGTATTGGGCTCTCTGGGCAGTAGCCCTGAAATTGTTCATCTCTGGGTTGGCCCTAAACCCTCAAGCTGCTACACTCAGGCCGCACCTAAATACTCGCGTGGAACCACGTGGGTAGTTCTCGAAGTTGGGGTTCCTTTCTGGGTCCGGCACCCTTAAAAAGGGAACTCCCGGAACCACCCATTTATTTAAGTCGGAGTCATGACACGATTATACTGTGGTATACCACGAGACCCCATTTGAGTTTTTGACTTTTCATGGTCCGATATTCAGTAGGCGGATTCGACACAGCATGTCAATTTCTATGTTCATGTTCTTCAAGGTCTTCCGATGAAACGACCCGCAGTATAAAGGCGCCGTTGATCGGAGTTTTGAGGCTTATTGGGGTTTAGGGTTTAGGGTTTAGGGATAGTGCGATTGTAGTACCCCATGCCCTAAACTCTAGTATAGAAGCGAGCTTTGGGTTCCACTATCTTACAATCGGGAACCGCAAGGAATGGTGTTAGCTCAGGGGTGACTCAGGCCCCTCCCTACACCCTAAGACCCTAAAACCCTAAAGCCCTAAAGCCCTAAACCCTAAACCCTAAACCCTAAACCCTAAACCCTAAACCCTAGACCCTTAAAGCCAAACCCTCCCTCCCAAACCCGGCCTCTGTGGATGTGTCTGCTGCAGCCACGAAGGCAACCGACACCCGCGGCTCCTGGCCAGCCAGCAGGGGCTGCCAAGTTGAAGATGGTGATGGTTTCAGGTTCAAGGGTTTAGGGTTTAGGGGTTCAGGGTTTAGGGGTTTAGGGTTTAGGGGGTAGGGTTTAGAGGTTCAAGGGTTTAGGGTTCAAGGGTTCAGGGGTTTAGGGTTTCGGGATGTCCTTTTGTGTGGCTTTTTACCAGGTGTCGCATATTATGTTGAACGGAGGTAGAGAACCCAGAAGGTTACCATTGAGGGGTGCATCTCGTCCTGAGATGGTATCCGGTACACTCCTTAATCACAAAGTTGTGGGCTTGGGCCCAAGGGGCTTGCAAACATCGGAATACCTTCAATGATCTTTTCGGGTGCATAAGTTTGGGTCGAGTCGTAGCCCGTTTTGTACCCATCCATATCCGATTCACTACAGCCCCCTTACAGCAGTGGTCCCTTTGTACAAACAAGCGGTATCCCTCTAACCCAGTTTTGCTGGTTTCACGGTTTATCTCTTACTTTTTCCGTCACAAATGCTGCTACGAGGTCGACGCTGTTTGCGCCTGGAATCAACAGATGTGCTGACTGTCACCCAAAACCACCTTCACCTGCAACACATGCCGGAGGGAAATCCATCCGAAATGGTACTTGTTTGCCGAGACCCAAAGAAAATTCAGAGTTGAAGTTTCGGAAAAGAACTTTACCGATAAGAACCCGAAGAAGTCAAAACGGGAACCGGCAACCCTGAGCTCCCTTCGAGTAGTTGGGCTTAGGGGTTTAGGGGTTTAGGGTTTAGTGGTTTAGCGCTTAGTGATAACATACTTGCGAAGTCCCCCGGGCCTATGAACTTGGGGCCCATACAGGCCCGAAGTTGCAAACTCCCACCTTGATTTCGGGACCCTGGAACAAATCAAACCGCACGTGGCCTCGGTATACTTCACAGTGATGCCTTCGGTCTTCACTGCCTGCGCAGAGACGGTCACTCCGAAGTCTTTCTGCTCAGGTTTTAGGATTGAACGAAGGCTTCAGAACTTAAACAAGTAGCACTTCAAGAATTGGCTATTCATACTCCGTATGTATTCCTACTTATGCAATCCAAGGACGGACTGGCTGTTTGTGTTTCAATACACCTCCGACGTGGAGCCCGCCCCACGTGCAACTCCCAGTGTAGTCGTATTGACCGCTCCGTATCTGTGAAGCATACAGCTGTCGACATTTCGTCGCTGCAATGCAGGCTTCGGATGAGTTGAAGCGAAGGCAAACAGAGAGTCTAAGTGTAAATGAGTGCTTGAGTAAAGACTCCTGAAATCTTGGCGGAGGGGCTTCTGAAATTTTGGGGGTTCACGGCTCAGGGTAAGTGGGCTGAAGTCTTGCCCTATGCCCGCAGAAGGTACGTTTGGATTTCGAGCATAGGTAGTTCTTGTGCGCTGGCTCCAGGCGGGCAGGACATCCTTGCCTGGACCCTACAAGGAACCTTAAAAAGGCAGGCTATTTGGGGTTTGGGGTTTGGGGTTTGGGGTTTAGAGTTTAGGGTTTTGGACCACAAGGTAGAGTTTGTGTCAATAGACCAACCTCCTCACACGTGAGAGATCCTACACGCACAAATGGAGGAACTTGTTTTGAACCACGGCGGGCTCCCTCATTTCATGCCGGGCCAGTTTGGAATAGTGGATTTCGAAGCAACTTTCAAGTGCTGCGGCTCTCTGGGTTTTCAAGACAGGCTTTAGAAATCTCTACAATCTCTAACTATGCTCAAAACAATTCGATCTACGGAGGATATGACGCCATATAAGACTGTAGCAACATCTACTCTCTACAATCTAGGAAGAAGCTTCTAGGTCAGGGGGCCCTCGCAGGGCCTTCAAGTTAGACCCATGCTGCCCACTAACTGAGCAGTTACGAAGTCTGCGCCCGCCGATAGCCAGCTCATGACCAAAAAACCTAAACCTAAACCGAAGCACCAAATCCAAAATCCAAGTTACTGACCGTCCACAAGCCATCTACAACCCCGCAACAGTTCACCTCGAGACGCAAGAGTATCTCCAGAAAGTTAAAAAGCTCCACTGGACAGGTCGAAAGGTAGACAAAAATACCAAACCCAAAAAACAGTTAAAGAAGGGATCCTCCACCTCCCCTCTCTTGTGTCCCAGCTTGTGACACGCTAGATGAAGTCTCGCCTCAGCAGCTGTCGTCAAGAGCTGGAGCGACACCGGGTCCACTTTTGCTGCTTCCTGGCTCTCTCTTGGCTTCGTTTTTTGCGGCACTTTGCAGTAGGTAGCGGTCCCTACATGACTATAGTTTTGGTCCCCAGGCCCTTCCCCTTAATTAAGGAATACACCTTAAATGATCATATTAAGCCCCTAGAATTTAAGGTATAGTCCTTAATTAAGGCCTCTTGGGCTCTCTGAGCTCTCCACGAACATACGGAAAAGGGATCCAGGCTGACAAGCCTCGCTTCTTAGGCTTTCTGCCGAAGCAGCGTACGGGGTGCGCTACTTCAAGCCTGTTCGGTTAGGGTTTAGGGTTTAGGGTGTAGGGTTTAGGGTCTAGGGTTTCAGTAACATTGGGGATGTTACTGCCAAGCCTTTCAAAAGCCGAATTCTAAGTTGGGGAATGGACTCCTGGACACCTGAGGCACAATCCGGGCATCGCTGCCTCCAGGTTGTTGCCAAGCGCAGAAACGAATGTTTGCTGCCTCAAGCGCAGAAACGAATGTTTGCTGCCTCAGCTGCCGGTACTGAAGCCCAAATGCCCCAAAAGCCTAGCGGGCCTTAAACATTCACCCCGCCAAATGTAAAGCTCTGACAGACCGATATCTTTACACACAGGATCATGGGACTTAGTAACTGGGGTTAGAAATATGATAAGCATACTTCTAATGACGCATGTATAACCCAAACTAACGTACTTATAGCCTTACTTACTAAGTCCCACGATCCTCCAAGTATTGGGCCTTCCACGCAAAGCCTCAGCTCGGAAACTCGCAGCCCTTGATTGTCACGGCTTCTGCGCCTTGTGTGGCGTAGTATTAATACTGATAACATACAAGGTACTATTAGTGCTAGTACTATTAGTGTTATGGTAATCGTGTTAGTACATTGGTATTATTGATATATTAATGTAGAAATATGGAACTTCCCGCGAGCGAATCAACTTTTTCCCGCTGCCAGGAGAGGAGTATCTGCGCAAGGTGTGCTGTGCAAGCCACCGTGACAGCAGCCGCAGTTTGTCCTAAACACAGTCTGCCTGCAGAAAACCTCCTGTCTAGTACACACAAGCGTGCACCCGTACAACACGTGGCTTAGCAAAAGAAGGCTCCTACTCCTGCATCATATACATGTCTCTAGCATGTTGCAAAGGTCTTCTGCTGCAGGAGAATGGGATTGTCTGGCAGCACCACGAATTCCCGCGGCCATCGGAAAGCAAGAAAACTGGACTCTGAGAACAGTGGGCTGTAGCTGCCCCAGGACCCTGCAAGTACGCTTCGGGTATGTCTCCGAACGTGCAGGTGCCCAAGTCTTTACATTTAATGCATATTTATTTGCTTCATCGCATGACCTTCTGTATATAACAGCCAGGGACGAAGCAGGATCTGGAGGGTGAGATGCAAAGCTGTACAATCGACCTTGCCTTGCTGGGATTCGGTGCACTTGCCGTGTGCACACGGAATATATTTGGGATTGTGCTGCAAGGTCGGGGCATGATTTTATCTCCAGTTTTTGCGACAAAATCAGACATCAAGGAACTTCTTCACTTCAGCAAAGGGCATCTGCTGCAGGTGTGAGCACGATGCTCTGCTCCGGTTCGGGGTCTGGGATGCAGGCTCCCTCCTCATCCAGGCTGACCCGCATCCGTGCCACTTCGGAGTTCTGGTGGAAAATCCTAATGCCTCCATCGTGGGCGATGCTAGA